AGGACCCAAGATTTTGGTACCTAAAGTTTCTACTACTTCTTTACTTGTAGGGAACGTCTTGCACAAGATGTAAAAAAAGTGTGGTACGTTAATAGTCGTTACTCTCATCACATGACGGGTAATAAAGATCTTTTTACAACCCTATCAATGATGAAAGAAGCCAATGTCTCCTTTGGCGGTGGTGAGAAAGGTAAAATTGTTGGCATTTGTAATATTGATAAGAAACATTCTCCCATCATTGAGGATGTTTACTTAGTAAAAGGACTAAATTATAATCTTCTTAGCATTAGTCAACTAAGTGATAAAAGATATGATATTGTTTTTAAACCGGATAAATGTGTTGTTAGCCTTAAAGATAAAGTCATTTTTGTTGCCCTTAGAAAATCTAATGTGTTTATTTTTGAAATGAATGAGCTTGTAGATCAAGATGTAAAATGCATTGCCACGGTGGATGGTGATTCTTGGATTTGGCACAAAAAGCTTGGATACACAAATATGAAATTAACTTCAAAGCTATCAAAGAAAAGCTTTGTAAGAGGACTACCAAGTTTAAACTTTGTTAAAGATTCACAATGTAAAGATTGTATCAAAGGTAAACAAATTAAAAGTTCTTTCAAATCTATTAACGAGGTATCCACCACTAAACCTTTGCAATTACTTCATCTTAATCTTTTTGGTCCTATGCGTGTTGCCTCACTAGGATGAAAGCATTATGTTTTTGTATTAGTTGATGATTTTTCTTGTTTTACATGGGTTATATTTCTTGTTAATAAGGATGAATGTTTTGATGAGTTTTCCCACTTAGTAAAAAAAATTAAAAATAAAAAAGATTTGAAAATTGTTAAAATTCGTAGTGATCATAGTGGAGAATTTCAAGATAAGTGCTTTAGTGACTTTTGTGACCATTATAGTTTTATTCATACATTTTCCGCACCAAGAACACCGTAACAAAATGTGGTTGTTGAACGAAAAAATCGCACCATGCAAGAGATGGAACATACTAGATAAATTCTTTTTATTTGCCAAAATATTTTTAGACGGAAACCGTTAATATGGCTTGCCACGTTTTAAATCGTGTTTTGATTAGGCTTATTTTTAAGAAAACCCCATGAGCTTTATTTTAGGAAAACTCCTAACATAAGCTATTTTCAATTTTTTGGTTGCAAATGCTTTATTTTGAACACTAAAAGATCATCGTGATAAATTTGATTCCAAAATAAATGTTGGTATATTTTTAGGATATGCATCAAGGAGTAAGGCTTATAGAGTTTTCAACAAACGAACACTCGTCGTTGAAGAATCTATAAACGTCACATTTGATGAAACTAATATCGGTTTGTAGGATTGTGTGCCTATTAGGGATGGTGATGATATTGAAGAAGGATTGGAACTAGTGCAAATCAAT